TATGCTAAGTAAGAATTTTGAAAAAAGGAGTTAGTTTTTCTTTATCTTACCTTCTCAATACTGTGAAAAAATTCCTTATTTTCTACTAGGCATTACTTAAGTTATCTTTCACGCTACAAATAATTTCGTGGTATAAATGATGGTATAAAAGAGTAAATTAAAGTGCAAAACAATTCAATGAACACGTAGATTCTTTTTGTATATCGCGAAAGAAACAGATGTAGCTTTTCAAATTCTCATTAGTTTTGATAGGTGTGTATTAGTTTGACTACAAAATCTCTTGATGGAATTTGAGTGACAATTTCGTATTTCAAATAAATTAAATAAATCATATGATTATCACGTTGAGAACATTTAAACAATAAAAGTTACTTGTTAGCTACACATGCATTTACTTAACTGACTAAAAGTTTATCTTTAATTAACAATAATTCAAATTATAAGAAGTCAAAAATTAATAACTAGAGTAAGATTATTACAATACTTTCGAAAAACTGAGTTTGTATCATATACTTATTTATTAAAAGACGTGTTCCTGTGCATAAATATGATGATTAACAATATTTTTTATCTTAAACCAACTCTTGTGCTAATTAAAACCATCTACAAATTTCAGTTGTCCATCTTAAACTCAAGGCTTATCATTGGGTCAACGGTAAGTTTTCGTAATTACAACGCGAAAAATCTAGGATTCATTTCCATACTATTGACAGAGTGCATTTGAGTAGCTTTGATCAGCGGTGACATCATTCAACACTATAATTTACAAGCCAAAGACATATATCTCAGTTCTATCCCATTCAACCCAGATTCCACATACAACACTGAAACACCCCTGCAGGTAGAGGAGATATCATCGACTACAGAACAAAGGGAGAAGCATCTAGAATATGGCAAAGTTAACAACTTTCTGGACCATTTCTTGCTGCTATGAAAACAACAAATTTTGTCTAAAGCCATTATAAATATATTTAGTTACTAGTTAATCCTGTAAGCTCAGTCACTGTTTATTACAAACGGTGATAATCTAAAACAAAAACAAAAAACATGTTACCACATGTACAGTACAGACAGCTGTAATAGCGGTAAAACATTTACATTCGTTTGTTTTGACTCTTTTTCGTATGATTTGAGGTGTAAGATGTCTTTTGGGGACTTTTTTTTCTCGTGTTCGAATTCATTATGGTAATTGCAATAGAAAATTTACCTTAATATAATAAAAATTAAAGCATGTGAACTTTTATTCTGTCAATTACAATGCAACCTGACCTTTAACAATAGGTTACATTTTCGTAAAGGTTTATTGATATGTCAAAAGATATTGTTAAACTACATCTCACTTATCATTACCTCCATCATAGGTGTTTTTTCTTCTATTTGTTTTTTTTTCTGATATTAATAGGTAGTCATCGGGTAGTACTGTACCGGGAATCTAAAGTTAAATATAGTCATCCATGATCTGTATGTGTGATCATAAGTTCAAGTTATTGTTATTAGTTATATGAATGCACCTTTTTATTCCTGTTAAAAAGCATGGTTATGTTATCATGACATATAGATAAGACAGAACTATGGAAGATGTCTATCTATATTATGTGCAGAAACTCTCGTCATTTAAGATGTTACCTAAGTTGAAATGTTTATCCTTGTAATTTTTCGAAAAACATGTTGCGTTATTGGTGATTATACTTTTACCCCCAATCATATCTAAACCAAATATACAGCAGATATAAGCAAACATCGCATTCGTTAAATGTTTTATAGCGAAAAGTATCTAATTTTGAAAACATTATTTTAAACTTTATGACAATGCAGTATGAGAAAAGTAAAGCTTCAAAGATACATTTGCTCTAGACGTGCTTGTAATTTTCAGTTCCTATCGTAGTACAAACTACTCTACTTATAACATCTGACATTCCGTGATTAATTATTAAAGAACCTCTTAGAACAAGTTAGAGTGGGTGTGAATGTATATTTCCAATCCTCGATTACCCGAAGCTACGCTTCCCGGTGGGACGACGGTAAGTGTACGAAGTTATAACCCCTGAAATCCGGGGTTCGATTCCCACGGTAGACACAGTATATAGCTTAATGTGGCGTTGCTCTAAAGACAAACAAAACTTGAGCTACTTTAATGTCATACAACATTCTACGTAAAACGTTACGGTCTTTCATAATTCCTTTATAATTTTCAACAACTCTTAAGTATTAGCTGCATTCTATTACAGTATGCCAAATATTAATCAGTTATCTATATTAAAATGTTTAAATATCGATTACAATACGTCCTCCGGTGAAACAGCGGTAAGTCTACGGAGTTACAACGCTAAAATCAGGGGTTCGAATCACCTCGGTGGAAATAGTAGATAACCTGATGTGGCTTTGCTATACAAACACACACATAAGACTACAATACTGAGACGTTATTAATCTTCTGGTGTTTTTGTTTCTGCTATTAGATATTTCATTTATAAAAGGATCCTTGAATTCGTATTACATGAACTGATCGATAATATGTAACACAATTCTATAATAATTAATCATTATTATGATTATTAAGTACTACTATTATTTATTACTTAGTACGTCTTTTTCTTCTCCTAACTCCCCACGAAGAGTCAATTGGTCGATCCTCTCAATACCTCACCTATGGATGTGGGTTTCACAAAGGGACAGCCATACCTCGCATCTAAAAACTATAGCATTATTGGTCCCGAAAATGTCTGAAAAATTAATTAATAATGCTAATTGCACTTTTCTGGAGTTATATTATTGGAAAATTTATATAGATCTGTAACTTTGTTCAACTAGTAAGCACACAGATTAACATTCGAGCCGTAAACGTCCAAACTCATGAGATGAGATAAATCTATGAGTCACGACTTTTGAAAACTATAAAGCCAACTGCAAAAATTCTTTCAAAGCATTTTACTGCAATGGAATTCGTTTTTTGTTTTGCTTTAACATTGTAAAGTCATGAACCACGCTTCAATAAATATACACGCATGGCAGTACACAGTCTATTAAACATATGTTAATGAAACAGCCACCAAATGAAAAAGTGACCTAGCTGGTAGCAACCCATTAAAACTATGCTGCTCTTCTCTTATCTTTGGTTGAGTCCAAATCTTCCTTGGAAATTAGATTATTTTAGTTTTTCAAAGTCTTTTGCGTTCTGTTTCAAAACACATGTAGAATAAAAACACAGTTGAAACCAGTCTATCATTATTAGAGGTAAGAATAATAGAAAAAAAAATTATTTGCAATGCATATATTTTAAAACAATGTATTAAACCAAGCATTGTGTTGTGTGTGTTATGATAAACTAAGCTCATGTATTAGTAAGGGGTTTTTAATCGTTCTACAGAAATTTCACGTTTCTGTGAAAAAAAACGTTAAAACCTATTTATAAGGGTTACTTAAAACTTTAAAAAAATCTCTTTCTCTATGATTGTAAAATGAGAACAGCAGTTGTAACAGACTTTTTGCTTTAAAGGTTTATGTATCAATTTCTTCTTCAAGCAGTCTCGCTTGCTACGTAGAAACTTCTGCAGGTATGTGTATTTTTTTATGTTATATGCAGAAGAGTTTGCTTTCTGTATATATCTTCTCATTTCCAAATTTAAAATGATGTAATTAATCAATATTGCGCATCCATACTGGAATATTTTAAGCATACTTTGCAATTGCAAATATTTGTTTTACAGAATACATAGATTAAACCAAAATCATTTTCCGAAACAGCTTTGATACAACAAGCATTTGCCTTCTGTATTTTTTCTTGATGTTATATTTACTCATTAGGCAACCTACATTTTAATATTAAATATGTCAATGTAGGAACTTCTATTAACGAGATTCGTCACTTATAATGCATGATTTAGAGTAAAATGTTGAAAAAATATTATTAGTGTTTCTAATATTAGACCCAACTAGTGGATATATTATTTTGCATTGAAAACAAAAAGGAAATGTCAATACAATATATATATTGGTCTTCATAATGCATTATTTTACATAATATGTCAACAAAATGATAAAGAACTGTATTGGTTGAATTGTGATTAAGTAAATAGTCTAGTTTTAATGAAAGGAAAAACAAGTAATATATTAAAATATGACTGAAGCTTTAAACGTTAAAAGAAAAACAAGTAATATATTAGAACAGGACTGAAGCTTTAAACGTTAAAAGAAAAACAAGTAATATATTAGAACAGGACTGAAGCTTTAAACGTTAAAAGAATCAAATATAAACTGAAATAAATACTAGTCTAGTAAAATAAGATGTATCAGTTTCGAACTGATAATAATGTCATACTTTCTAAACATTGTATATATATATATATATATATACATCTATTTTACAGTTTTATTTTTCACGAAAGTGGGCTTGTCATTGGTTGCTATATTTCATGTCACACCTTAGTTTTAATGGTCAAAATTGTTCCAAGGTTAATCAAATATACAGTTTAATGTTTTTGCCAGAGCTACACTCTTATGTATTTATTTCGCATTTTTTCTCCCTTTTATTGCATGTTAATAGTTATATAGGCTAATATATTAAAGTTATCTTTAACAAAATATCCAACCAAAAGTTATATGAATTAAAGATTTTCAAGTTTGTCTACTTATAGTATCTCAATTTTATTGGTATTGATCATTAGTATGTTCTAGAGATTTATTATTGGTACAAGCTTTATATATGCAGATCTAAATATTCAATGTTCGAGTAGGGTTTTGATTGTGAACGACTCTTAAAGCTAAAACCTGATTTTTTTTCGCTTTTTCTGACTTCTGAAATGCATAATTTATAAGTTACCAAATAAATCCCTCCTACCACTAGATACGAAAACGAACGCGGGTTGGCCCTGTGGTAGAGCTGTTGATTTCGAAACTGGTAGGTCAGGTTTGAATTCATGCAGTACCACAAAATAAATCCCCATTTTCAGCCGTGGGTGAATTATAAGATTGACAGTCAATCTATTAGCGTGTATAGTGGGTGGTAGGGTACTTCTGAACAGTTGCCTCCTTCTCTCTGGTCAGTAAGTAGTTAAATAGGCTTAGTAGCTTTATCACAAATACAGTTACGAAAACACGATCACAATTTTTACTTCTATGGTACGTTTTGATAAATGTCTGATTTGAAACTTACTTCAGTGCTCTGATTTCTGTTTCTGCAGATTCAGCCAGTACAAAGTGAAGACTTGGACATTTTGGATATTTAATACAACGTACAAGTATGTTGTAGATGTGCGGTCTCTAACAATTCTGTAAATTAAAAATAATTAAGTATGTATCACTTAGTGATTGTACAAGCATACCAAGTTGTATTTCTCTATTAAATTTACTTTTACTCAATAACAAAAATATTTCAATTCATCTATTTGTGAACAAGTTTAATATAAAAAAGGTGAAAGCCAAAAAGATAATAAATTCCACCAAAATATATTTTTCTTTGACTGAATGGCTCAGTCAAAATCTAGGTTAGAATAATGTAATATAAGTCCTTTGTTGCTTCTTCAGAAAAGATTTATAACAGTAATTTTGGGTCTAAACTATCGGGATAATGTGTATCAATTATTTCATAAATACAAAATGCTAAATATTTATGAAATAAATAACAGGCCTGCGAATTTATGTTTCATAAAAGTTGTTTTGGTTTTATTAACGGATTTTCCATAATTCAGCTACGCAGATTTCGAAAATAATAATATTTTTTTTTCTATCACGTAAGGATTTTTGACAAATCGGGAAGAAAGAAAAAAACTCTTACTTAGATCAAATTTTTATTTCGTTTACCACAATGGACATTTTATTATTATGTTTGGTAACAAAAATACAAACAAACTGAAGAAAATGGAAGAACAGTAATGTCAAACGAATATGCAGCTTTATTAATTGTGTGTGCATGTGAAATCTACGTCTTTTAGTCTCAAAACTACGTGTTGTGGTCTTTATTCTATGTATTGTGTTATGACGTTTTGTGAAAAATCTGTACGTGATGGAGAAAAATATATATTATTTTCGGATTCAGTGTACAGAAATTAATGTAGTACATGTAAGAAATTTTGAGACAATAAAATCATCGCAGGCGTGTGACACAAAATAAATTAATTTTTATATCCCGTCATCAAACTTTTTTTTTTAATTTTGGTTTGTTATGAATTTCGCGCAAAGCTACACGAGGGCTATCTAAGCTAGCCATTTACACCATTTTGATACTATCTTATATTTATTTTGTACCTTCTGAATATCCCTTGATTTATGAAGGGCTGATAGCACCTGTATTTCAAAGATCTCAACACTTGTAAGTGTTGGTTTGATTGATTTCTAGAATTACCAAAGCTATTTATCATTCAACCACCTATAAGTCTCCAACGCAACGAGAAAAAAAAAACGACTTTGAAACTCAATAGATTTTGTGATATTAAGTGCAAAATAATTTGTAAAGCAGGAATTTATTTGTTTACTATTTGTTAAGTATATTTTTATCACTGGTATTGGTGTTTTGAAAACACCGTAATATAGACTTACAAGAAACATATTACGACATCATACTGTATCACATACTTCTAAATAACTTTAATCAGTTTTATATAGAAATATACAGGTTAATAGTAGGTAAAAATAAAATAAAAAATAAACAACTAATAGCTGAGAACTGCGGTTTCAATTTAACCCTTCTCTCTTTAATACACCTAGGGTACAATGAAATAGTATTATAAGCGCGTTTAAATACATGAAACGTCAGCCCATTCTGATAAGTGTCAAATATAGTAAAGGCCAACAAAACCACAGTTTTAACTTCTTATGTTGTTATTGTTGTTTGGGTTTTTGTTGTCCTTTATTCTTTTTTTTTTTTTGGCTCAGCAGCAAATCTGAGGGCATGTAACACCAGAAATCGCGTTTCGATTCTCGTGGTTGGCACAGCACAGATAGTCCATTAAGTAGCTTTGCGCTTAACAACAAGCAAACAATTCCCGTTATGGAACAACCGAAACACATGGAGTTGCCACTTTGTTGTAAAAGGACCAATATCAGAGCAATCAACAAAAAATATTATTGTATTCAAGTATAGTACGAATAATTTCTAAGCTTATAGGTATGCTGATAATTACTATACTGTTTACGTCCATTGAAAGAACTTGTCATGAAACACGTAATAGGAGCAAAATGTTCTAACATTGAAACGTTAACTGAATATCAATTTACTCGGTTAAAGCTACTGTTATATATCCCCTTATTCTTGAAGTAGTGAGTGTTGAATTTCATTGTGTAGTGTATTGTGACCATAACATTATTAAAAATCTGCTGTCTACTTATGGTTGTTGCTGCTACCCACCGCGGGAAATCGAACCGCAGATTTTAGTCCTAAGACTTACCGCTGATCGACCGGGGGGAGGAAGGGGGCTTTACTTATAGTGGGTAATATAAACAAAATCCAAAGCTTAGTATGTAATTCAAAATTTCTTTCACCAGTTTGCTTTGTTAGTACAAATGTTTAATGTCGGATATCAACTGAGTGTAATCATGAAAAATACAACCATAGAACTGACGAGTGATATTTATTGAACGTTTCTGAATCATAAACATTCCATTTCCGTACATTCCTACAGTCAATACAAAACAATCATTACAGCTAACAACGTGAATCTTGAAAAAACGTTTTGTACAATAAATAAACATTTACAAAGGAAAAGTTCAGATTCAAATAGTGAGGTGAACTTGGATTACGTTCTAATATTATAAATAATTAAATTTATTCTATACTTAATGAAAATGGAGTAAAATAAGCTTAATTCAACAGAAGGTGAGTTATTATTTAAGCTACGAGTATTGTATTGTATAAGGAGACTATTTACTCAGATGTTCGAAATCAGCTTAGCTTGTAAAAAACAAAAAAACCCTTAAAAGTATGTTTGTGAGATTGTGCTCCCAGAATAGACGAATGGCAGAGGTAAAGGAAAACCAGAAAAAGTGACCGGTTCTGTAAGAAACCACCACATATTCGTGTATACATAAGCTTTAAGTGGCGTTTGGTTTTAACTATGTAGGAGGTTTAGCAGCTATTCCTTATATATATATATGAGTAAATGTCACATGAACGAAGTGGGGTCGGTATGTAGTTGATGGACTGAAGCTTCGATAGTACCCATCTTGTGAGAAAGCTACCTTAAAGTTTAAAAAGGTTAACTTGAATAGAGCTCTTCCTAAGGAATATAAACTCTAAAATGTTATTCTGAGTTTTTTTGCAATATAAACTTGCAAATGGTCATCTGAAAAACTGCACCTATCTTTCCTTCCAGCAACGTCTACTTGAACTTAGACTTAACATCCTATAAAAGTTTCCTCGTCAACAAACTTGACTTATTACTCTTTAGGTTCCAGCACAGAACCTCTTATACGGACTTTATTCTTCTATCCTCTCTCGTCACACGACTTAATAATAAGATTGCCCGACATTAACACATTCATAGCCTCAAACCAAGAAGCATCAATGCCTTATTGGTTTCTACTTATTTTGATCCTGTTAGACTCGTTTTCAGTTACAACTCTATGTTACGTCCCGGTGCTTAACGTTCTGATCTCTTCCTTAATTAATATATCTGGTAGTATATCTTAGTTCATAAAACAAAGGATAGCACACTTTTCTTGACTGTATTTACAATTTCTACTCATACCTCAAGGGTACAGTAAAAACAATGTACATATCCAGCTTAACCAGGGGAATATATCTGGTATTGTTAAACCTTCTTACAAAATATCTTGTAGTAAATTACATCATTTTTTTCCTCCTCACAAAGTTATGAGACTATTATTTGTAATTCCATACAAATAATAGATTCTGCCAATAATTCGTTAACATCTAACACCACTTTCATTTTTCAGATAATGGGAACTAACCAGTCTATTTTTTTCTCAAATCCAATTCCCTGCTCCTGTCAAAATCATTTCCTTCCGTATATATATATATATTTCCGTAATTCTTTTTCAAACAATCAGAATAATTAAACTTAATTTTTAAAGTACTCAAAGTTACATAACGTCTTCTAAGTGTTAGACAAAACAAAACACAGATATTCTTGGTTGGAATCTCATAAGAATAACATTTATACTCAAAACTTTGTTTTCTTACACTTACTACATATGACAAAGTTACTTCAGAATATGTAAAAAAAAATCATTTCATCAAAAGCATAAAAGACAACAAACGCTATTTCGTAACTTTTACATATATAACAAAAGTTAATTCATAATATATCTTCTACCTTTTATTGAACACATTCCAAAACAGTTTATTGTATTCATCTAGTCCTCTGATTGGTCCTCCAGCTTCCACTTGTTTTCCTTCTTTCTATTCTCCTGCAGGGTTTATTATATATACGGATATAACAGAAGTTACTGCATGACATTTCATCGATATTATTTAGGTTATCAAACTCTATCCTTAAGAATAACAATTACAAAAAATGACGTTTTTTGGCACAAAAATAAGTAAAATTATTTAATATAACTTACAGCAGACTAGTTTCGGAAAACATGTTACCATCATCAGGTCAAAAGTTCTGGTGGTTGCCTTGTGACCCGTCGATAGTTCATCAGAATTCTTTATAAACCACATTATGCTGATATATTACAAGTAACAATTACAAAAAAAACAACGTTTTTTGGCACAATAATAAGTAAAATTATTTATTATAACTTGCAACCAACTAGTTTCGGTAAACGTGTTATCAGCATCAGGGCAAAAACTCTATTCTGTAACATTTAGAAATATCAGAACAGTTAACTCATCAATCACCTTTTCCTAAATATATTTCAATATCGTTAAATATATTTACCCAATTCTCTCTTTACTTCTCAGTTTGTTTATTTGGAACATAAAATATCAAATTTTGGTATATAAAACTAGTACGAACTTCAGTAAATAAATCAGTCTTTCTTAATTTTCCTTTATGATGTCCAACACTATAACAGTCACTCAGAGGGTAATTTCAGTGAAGCCGTTGATTCCTATGATTTTACTCCTCATCAGTCAAGGCTCAAACAAGAAAGTCAACCATTTCACTTGTAGGCTCCTCTCAATACCAATATTCAACACAACACACTATATAGATCACAAGTAGAATTCAGTTTCCTCCCATTCATTACCTTAATTTTTATAACACAAACGAGAGAGGTCATCTGTATTTTGATTTCTGAAACCGTCTATACCGAGCTCAGAAGTTATACTTCTGTAACTTTAAACGCCACTGATGTAGCTTTTCTTGTAGTTTCTAACACTATGCAGCCATTTTAAAGGATTATGATCATTTTATATTGTAAAGGGTCTGTTTAATCCTCATATTATGGCCAAACGTTCCTTTTCAGTTTTTATCCAATATTTGGTTTTATCCATGCCTAGATGTCCAACTAATAGAGTATCACGATTCAATTCAAAAACAGTATGTCTACGTTCTTTGAGTAGTAAAATCTAATACAGACAATCTATTTCAATGCCATTCTCCATTCTATACTTACACTTTAACAACTCCCTTCGCCAGCAAATACGACTTTGTCCTGGATTTTTATTCTATTTTCTTTCCTATCGATTCTCTGCAACATTGTTCTAAGGTCTCGTCTTTTTACTGCAGCTGACATATTTATACTTACAATTCTAACAGAGTAAAAATTTCACTTTATCTTTAGCCTTAGTTTCTTGTTTAAACCCTTTACTACTTTCAATTTCCCGTTCCGGACTCTTTGTAATGTCTACCGCCTCTTGTCTATGATTACTCGTTACAGCCGATATCCATTTTCCCTTTAACTCAATAGCCTCTAATTCATCATCTCAAATTACTAGATAGGATATGCCATCTGCTAATCCTACTACCATTTCAACTTCAAATGTTTTGCACTTCATTGAACAATCTTCACTAACGGTACAATATAATAAGCACACCCAGAGGTGTACTAACTGTTTGTTTGTTTGTTTGTTATTAAGTACAAATCTACACAAAGGGCTATCTGTACTCTACCCACCATGGGTATCGAAACTCGGTTTCTAGCAGTATAAGTCCGCAGACATACCACTGTGCCGGGGGGGGGGGGGTTGTACTAAATCCTATGACGTTTAACTCATCCCGTGTGAACCAAGCATCGTCTATTGATTCCCTTCTCAAAGGAGTTGCCAACTCTTTGTACTTCGTAAGGGTTGTAGTTTTATTTTTTCATTTACTATAACCTATTATAAGCACGTATTAGTAATATTTCCCTTTCTCACACACAACACATTCTTTCGTGACTCTGAGGCGTTCTTTCCGAAGTACACAATTTAGATATATGTTCCTATTTATTGCACACATAACCTTTCACTGGAGATCTATGGTTAACTTTTTTACTTTCTTATCCAATCAATATTAAAAAGGCTGCTCTTTCCAGATCTTACAAATCTTTGAGTCTGCTTTTCCACTTTGTTACTTGTATTATTAACAGAATTTCAACTTACTGGCAAAACACTTCAGCCAATGTTAAGAACTCACGCGTGTTTTCTGGTTTAAACAGCACCTTGAACACCATGTCGCCAGTATTCAGCGATTGTATTTTTAATCAGATCACCTCTCGGCCCAGTCTTTCTCTGAAAGTATGAACAATCATGCTTTGACAACTGACCGGGTGAATTTAAATCGGTCCGCTATAGGAGCTATTTTGACAATAGTTTTGTAATGTCACATTCTAGTGATCATGCACCTGAATTTATTATAACGTCTAAACTTATATCAACCTATCACAAAGTCTGCTTGTGAAACTGAGAAACCTTTGTCTGCTTTTCTTAGACATTTTTATAAATCGTGATTCATATGTTTTTCAATGTCCATATTCTTCAAAAAAAAAAATCTTCTTTAGCCTCTACATTCTTCAACAGCTTCTTTCATTCTAACTACAAACGTAACCTTATCACTTGTCACTTAAAAAAGCTATTAACAATTGTTCTTCGTTTTTGTCTGTATATAAAGAAATAAATTTTGTCCATCGGTATCTCGACGTTATATCGAAACCACAACTCCTGAGTTTTCGAATAAAAAACTTAGCCCTCTTAGCAATATTAAACGGACTATTTTAGTTGAATACTCTGTGTATTTATGCCTTCCATACTTAGGTAAATAGAGCTTAATTATTAGAAATGAATTCATCAAATTCTTACATAAATGCTATACCCAGATTCAATTGATAATTGTACTTAAACCAATTATATTAAATAAAACCTTTTTCATCCATGCGAAGAACTGCTTACCGATCCCTTTCTTCGTTCATGGATCGTTTACTCGAATACGTGTGATAGCTACACAGCTATGTAGACAGGCAAAAAAAAAACGTCTTTTAACCATACGTAACCACAAACACATGGAGACTTCCTACAGAATGGTAACTTTTATCATGTCTCTATATCTATGTTATTCACACACACACACTGTCAACTACTGAACACACAATCTGATCAATGGGTTTAAAGCTCTTAGCCACAGGCCACACAGATTGGGAATTACTGACTAGAAAGAGTCTTCGTATTAAAAACAAATCATTTGAGTGAATAATAATAATATAACTTATTTAGAGTTCAGCTTGTTTTAATTCCTTTCAATAACTATAAAGATACGATTATTCATTTATTTCGGTTATTTAGCTTTGTTCATATAAAGGTTTTTACACATCCATTCTGCGAGTCTTAGCATTCTCGTAATATATGTTTATGGGTGTACTT